TTCTCCTGCCTCAGCCTCCTGAGTAGCTGGGATAACAGGCATGCATCACCACACCAGCTAATTTTGTATGTATGTATGTATATATGTATTTATTTATTTATTTATGAGACAGAGTCTCGCTCTGTCGCCCAGGCTGGAGTGCAGTGGCACGATCTCGGCTCACTGCAAGCTCTCCTCCCGGGTTCACACCATTCTCCTGCCTCAGCCTCCCAAGTAGCTGGGACTACAGGTGCCCACCACCACTCCTGGCTAAGTTTTTGTAATTTTTAGTAGAGACAGGGTTTCACCGTGTTAGCCAGGATGGTCTTGATCTCCTGACCTCATGATCTGCCCACCTTGGCCTCCCAAAGTGCTGGGATTACAGGTGTGAGCCACTGCACCCAGCCTAATTTTGTATTTTTAATAGAAACGGGGTTTCTCCATATTCGTCAGCCTGGTCTCGAACTCCCGATCCACCTGCCTTGGCCTCCAAAAGTGCTGGGATTAGAGGCGTGAGCCACCACGCCTGGCCCGCAAAGCCCGTTCTCTTAAAACAGTAACAAAAAAAGTATTTGTGATTAGAATGTTTTTATTTATGACATTAGTTAACAAAAAATTTACTTTAAAGAAAGATTAGAAACAGCCGGGCATGGTGGCTCACGCCTGTAATCCCAGTACTTTGGGAGGCCAAGGCGGGCAGATCACCTGAGGTTAGGAGTTCGAGACCAGCCTCAACATGGAGAAACCCCGTGTCTACTGAAAATACAAAATTAGCCGGACATGGTGGTGCATGCCTGTAATCCCAAGCTGCTCGGGAGGCTGAGGCAGGAGAATTGCTTGAACCTGGGAGGCAGAAGTTGCGGTGAGCCGAGATCATGCCATTGCACTCCAGCCTGGGCAACAAGAGTGAAACTCCGTCTCAAAAAAAAAAAAAAAAAAAAAAAGATTAGAAACAAACTCTGAGAGAAAGTTGAATACAATACACAGTGTATACCATAGCCAACAATTCCCCATAGGGTACTGCTGAATAGGAACTTCAGATTTTGGTTTTGATAAAGGTCTTTCCAAGGCAGTGAGTCTGACTATGATACCTCTGTTGTTTCTACTCCATAATAAAGAACAAATCGTTGATAATACTGTGAATTGGAGAAAAAGAGTTAATGTTTGCAGATTTGGCAAAGAAATTGAAATTTTCCTAACATTACTGCAAGAGTTAGGCTAGGGTCACAGGGTTGAGGATTTGAGACCCTGCAGCCCATACATGAGGAAAATGCAGGGAGAAGCCAGTCCCCATGGGCAATGTAAAGAAATCAAAAGCAGCAATTGGACCGAAGTGTTTGTAAGTGCACTAAGGTTCTACCTAAGGAAGCGAAATACAACTAAAATGCAATTCTTGTAAATTTTTCTGGTAACTACAAACCATGACTGGGTGATTCTCATTCATAAATCGCCATATGCTCAAACCGTTTAATTTTTAACAGTGCCTCCGTTTAATTTTTTTTGTTGTTGTTTACCTATATATTATAAAGGACATTACAAAGGATATAGATGAACAGCCAGATGATGAGAATGATAGAACAAGATGTGGAGTTGGGGGATAGGGCCTCCCTGCTGTCTCTGGGCATACCACCATCCCAGCCTTGCGATGTGTTCAGCAACCCAGAAGCTCCTTTTTTTTTTTTGAGACAGAGTCTCGCTGTGTCGCCCAGGCTGGAGTGCAGTGGTGTGATCTCGGCTCACTGCAAGCTCCGCCTCCCGGGTTCACACCATTCTCCTGCCTCAGCCTCCCGAGTAGCTGGGACTACAGGCGCCCGCCACCACACCCGGCTAATTTTTTTGTATTTTTAGTAGAGACAGGGTTTCACCGTGTTCGCCAGGATGGTCTCGATCTCCTGACCTCGTGATCCGCCCGTCTCGGCCTCCCAAAGTGCTGGGATTACAGGCTTGAGCCACCGCGCCCGGCCTGATTTTTTGTATTTTTAGTAGAGACGGGGGTTTCACCGTGTTAGCCAGGATGGTCTGGATCTCCTGACCTCGTGATTCACCCGCCTCAGCCTCCCAAAGTGCTGGGATTACAGGCCTGAGCCACCGTGCCCGGCCCAGTTTAATTTTTAATAGGAAAAAAAAGTACTGGGGGCCCCACGGACCGCAGTTTCTCCCACACGAACCCTACACCCAAGGCAGAACTCTCCTTATGTCAAGTGTGGCCCCCGCACAATCTGGGAAGACGCGAGGTTGCGGGTGCGGAGCTGCCCAGAGAGGGCTCTGGGGCCGCAGTCGCCAGGCAGGGACGGGACGGGACGGCCAGGGTCCCGGCTGCTGGACCAACCCCACCTCGTGGCCGAGCTGTGCCAGAACTCGGGTCCCAAATCCCCAAGTTGCCTGCAGGGGACCTGGGATCCCGTCACAGCCGGTTCCGGCCGTTTCCAACCAGCCCCTGCCAGGTCTCGGGTAGCTGGCCCCGAACACTCACCATTTCCAGGCTTCCAGGTGTCCTGGCTTCTTCTCTAGGGCTCCCGTGACTAGTGCAGGTCACAATGCAGGCGACAAAACGACATAAGTTGTGGCGTAGGGACCTGCTCCCTTTCACAGCGGGAAAGACTGGATCCCAACCTTAGTGGCAGGGTCACCAAGGTAAGAGCGGGAATGCGTCCCCATCTTCCCAGGATGGACAGTTGGCAGGGCCCCGCCCCAGCGCTCCTGATTGGACAGGGGTCCAGGCCCCCATTCCCTCATCCAGAAGTGACAGTAGAAGCCCTGGGTAACTGGACCTGCGGAGCGGGAGGGGTTCTAGCTACCATCTAAGGGCCAGCTCCCTCCCTGCAACTTGGTCATTGGATATTTTCATTTTAGTGAAATTTGCTCCCGAGTTTTAGACAGGGCACTATCTTTTTCCTTACTCAAAGGGTTGTTCCTGCTCCTTTGGTCTCCATTGGGGTTACTAGTGTGTACTGGGAATTCCAGACTCAGTGTCCAGCGGAGCAATCTTGTCACCTCAGAGCCCGAGGGGAACCAAGATCAGGCCAGGCATGATTGGACCAGGAGGGAGAGGCAAGTGTCCTTCATGGGGGCGGCAACTGGGGATGAGACATGGCCAAGGCTTTCTCTCATAGCCCCCATCCCCTCCTCCCAGTGTGGAAACGCTCCCTCCTTCCAGACCTTCACATTCACCAGCAGGAAACTCTTACCAGGTGACACTCTAAGCTTCTGAGCTAAACAGTCAACTTCATAAATGGTTTCTCCAGGTGAGGTCCAAACAATTCTGTCTCTGAACCTGACCTTCACAGATTTTCTTCATATATACAGATAACCGTCTGACCCCAGGGACCTTCTGCATGTCAGAACCAAAACACTGTTCCTGAATATGGCCCCAGGCTCCAGGGGTCCAACCACAGAAGGAACAGCACCCTGCCAAGGGCATCTGCACATGAGTCTCCTGCTTTTCAGGGCTCTGCAGCTTATCAGAATCCACACTTCTGGAGCTACTCCGAGCAGCTGGAGGCCACTTGCAGAATAGGTTGGGCCGCCCAGGAAGCACCCATGGGAGCTCCATTTCCCTCCTTCCGCAGCCTCCATACTGGCCTTAGCCTCTGTTACCCCCTGCAAATTCACAGTGGTACCTGAAGGGAGGGACAGTGGATGAGTAGGGGGAGAGGCCACTTGAACCGTTGGCAGGCCAGGCCTTTCAACAACTACCTGTGAGGCCAAGTGCCATGGCTCAAGCCTGTAACTCCAGCATTACAGGATGCCAAGGTGGGAGGATTGCTAACAACCCAGAGTTCAAGACCAGCCTGAACAAGGTAAAACCCCACCTCTACAAAAAATACAAACATTATCTGGGTGTGGTGTCACATGCCTGTAGTCCTAGCCACTTGGGAGACTGAGATAGGAAGATCACCTGAGCCCAGGGAGGTCAAGGCTGCAGTGAGCCATGATCCCGCCACTGCACACCAGCCTGTGTGACAGAGTAAGACTGTCTACAAAAGCTATTAAAAGACAAATTTTTAAATAATTTAAAAAATTAGCTGGCCGAGGTGGCCTGTACCTGTACTTCCAACTACTGAAGAGGCTGGCAGGGCCAGGCACAATGCTTCACACCTATAATCCCAGCACTTTGGGAGGCCACAACAGGAAGACTGCTTGAGCACAGGAGTTCAAGACCAGCCTGGGTCACATGGCAAAACCTCATCTCTACCAATAATACAAAAATTAGCTAAGTGTGGTTGCGAGCACCTGTGGTCCCAGCTACTCAGAAGGCTGAGGCTGGAGGAGCCCAAGAGTTCAAGGCTACAGTGAGCTATGATTGCACCACCGCATTCCAACCTGGGTGACAGAGGGAGACTTTCTTTAAAAATGAATACCCATGAGGAGAGTGAAAGCTATGAACAATTCACCAGTGGCAACAGGTCTCCTTCCTGTACGTGTTTAATACCTGAGTTTACTTATTGGAGTAGTTCTTAATGAGTTACATTCTACCTTTTGGAGTTACCACAATTTTTGTATTTACCTTTTTTGTATTACTTTGACCAGGGTCTGACTTGAGTAAAAGGGTTAAGAGGCCTGTAGAGGCTGGGCACGGTGGCTTACACCTGTAACCCCAGCACTTTGGGAGGCCAAGGTGGGCGGATCATGAGGTCAGGAGATCGAGACCCTCCTGGCCAACATGGTGAAAACTTTTCTCTACTAAATATATAAAAATTAGCTGGGCGTGGTGGTACATGCCTGTAATCCCAGCTACTCAGGAGGCTGAGGCAGGAGAATTGCTTGAACCAGGGAGTTGGAGGTTGCAGTGAGCCGAGATTGCGCCACTGCACTCCAGTCTGGTGACAGACTGTCTCAAAAAGGTGCAGGGGCGGGGAGTGGGGGGAAGAGGCCTATAGAAAGGGAGACATGTAAATAAAGAGAAAGAATGTAACGTATAACTTCGGTTCACATTCCCAATTACTACACCTCTTACATAAAATTTAGTGGTTTGCAAATAAAGTGAGTGCTGATTTGTGGGATCAGACATAAATAGCAAGTGTTCTTAATCACATATAATCAACCATAAATAAGAATAAACTGAGGCATTACAAAAAACACTCAAAATTCCCAGATTAAGAGCAAGGTGCTTTTTCTCACATAAAAGTCCTGGGTGACACCAGTCACTACACAATGCAGGAGAGAAACAAGTTCCCATCTAGTTGGTTTTCAGGGAAGCATAGTAAATGTCAGGCTGAATCATGAACAGGGTCACTGCCACTAGAACAATGCTTGCAAAAGAGCATAGACCTTAACTCACTCTATAGATTAGGGAGTTGACCATCAGAGTATTTCCAACCATGACAGTTTGAATTAGTTCTCTGGTAATCATTTACTAATATCTGGAATAAAAAAGCCAACTGGAAATGTACCTTTAATGTGAATCATCTGGCAACATCTCTGGAGAACTATGACTCTGAGAAAAGGAAAGTCAAGGATTTGGAGAATCCTCTTAATTTGCAAGCAAGAGAATCAGAAAAAATGGGCTGAAGCAGGTGGCCACACACTGCTCTCCCTGTGTGGTGCCTCTAATATGTGACTGACACCTCCCTTGTCTGTGCCTATGAAATCTCATTAAGATTGGCTATAAGTGGCAGGGTGCAGTGGCTCACATCTATAATTCCAGCATTTTGGGAGGCCGAGGTGGATCACTTGAGATCAGGAGTTTGAGACCAGCCTGGCCAACATGGTGAAACCCCATCTCTAAAATTAGCCAGGCGTGATGGCGGTTGCCTGTAATCCCAGCTACTTGGGAGGCTGAGGCAGAAGAATTGCTTGAACCCGGGAGGCAGAGGTTGCAGTGAGCTGAAATCATGCCACTGCACTGCAGCCTGGGCAACAGAGCAAGACTCCATCTAAAAAATGAAAAAATTAAAAAAAAAAAAAGATTGGCTATAGATGAATTGTATCAGAACCATCTAAATATCTAAATACATCCAGATTTAACTGTCCATTCACCGGTAGCTCTTCTCAACTCAGAAATAAATTATCTCACAGGTCCTTTCCCTACTCTTTTTCTGTGTTTCAAAGGAATTGGGATAATTGAATGCATATTAACAGAATGTATCTCTTCATGTTGCTGACACGAACTGGAACAAATGAAAGCTTTGCCACATTGCTTGCATTCACATGGTTTCTCTCTGGTGTCTGTCCTTCCACGATTTTGAAGGTTCTTGGCAGATGTGAAGGCTTTCCCACAATTCTTACATTCATATGGCTTCTCTCCAGTGTGCATCCTTCCACGTATAAGTAAGGAAGAGAAATTACTAAATGCTTGTATACACCCCTTACATTTAGCATTTCTCTGTAATGTATCTTTTCATGCATTCAAAGCTCCATGGAAGATATGAAAAATCCTTTCCCACGTTGTTTATTCATAGGGCTTTTTCCCAGTGTGTGTCCTTTCATGTCTACAAAGGGAACAAGAAAAACTGAATACCTTCCCACATTCCTTACATTCATAAGGCTTCTCCCTAGTGTAGTTTCTTTTTATGATGTAGAAAGGAACCGGAACTATAGAATGATTTCCCACATTCCTTACATTCATAAGGCTTTTTTCCAGTATTAGTTAGTTCATGTATTCGAAGGCTACTCCAATAACGATAGACTTTACCACACTGTTTACATTCACAGGGTTTCTCCCCAGTGTGAATCCTTCCATGTATTCGGAGGCTTGAGGCACATCTGAAATATTTCCCACATTGCTTACACTCATAGGGTTTCTCTCCAGTGTGAGTCATTTCATGATATCGAATGGAACTGGGTAAATTAAAGCCTTTGCCACATTGCTTACACTCATAGCGTTTCGCTCCAGTGTGACTCAACTGATGATATCGAAAAGAAATGGGAGAAACATAGGCTTTCCCACATTGCTTACATTCATGGGGCTTCTTTCTGGTGTGACTCCCTTGATGACACTGAAAGGCACTGAAATAAATGAAGGCTTTCCCACATTGCTTGCATTTATAGCGTTTCTCTCTAGTGTGAGATTTTTCATGTGCTTGAAATGAACTGGGAGAATGAAAGACTTTTCCACATATCTTAGATTTATGGGATCTCTCTCCAGTATTCATGTGTCTAGAAAAGCTTCTAAGATGAGAAAATCCTTTGCCACGTTGTTTATGTTCGTAGTGTTTTTTACCTATGTGTGTCCTGTCATGTCTCCGAAGGGAACTGGAAAAACCAAATACCTTCCCACATTCCTTACATTCATAAGGCTTCTCTTTTCTGTGACTCCCTTCATGCTTTTGAAAGGATGTAGGATTATCAAATGCTTTCCCACATTCCCTGCATTCATATGTCTTCACTCTAGTGTGGACTCTTTTATGATTTTGAAAGAAATTGGAACTATAGAATGATTTCCCACGGTTCTTAAATTCATAAGGCTTTTTTCCAATATGCGTTAGTTCATGTATTCGAAGACCACTCCAGTAACGACAGACTTTACCACACTGTTTACATTCATAGGGTTTCTCCCCACTGTGAGTCCTTCCATGTGTTTGAAGGTGCGAGGCAGATCTGAAAGCTCTCCCACATTGCTTACATTCATAGGGTTTCTCTCCAGTGTGAGTCATTTCATGATATCGAATGGAACTGGGCAAATTGAAGCCTTTGCCACATTGCTTACACTTATAGCGTTTTGCTCCAGTGTGACTCAATTCATGACACTGAAAAGCAGTGGAAGAAATATAGGCTTTCCCACATTGCTTACACTCACAGGGGTTCTCTCCAGTGTGGCTCCTTTGATGATGTTGAAAGGCATTGAAATAAATGAAGGGTTTTCCACATTGCTTGCATTTATAGCATTTTTCTCTAGTGTGAGATCTTTCACGTGTTTGAAATGAACTGGGAGAATGAAAGACTTTTCCACGAATCTTACGTTTATGAAGTATCTCTCCAGTGTGTATCTTCATGTGCCTAGAACAGCTTCTACGAAAAGATCCTTTCCCATGTTGTTTACATTCACAGGGTTTTTCAGTGTGTGTCCTTTCATGTCTCCGAAGGGAACTAGAAAAACTGAATACCTTCCCACATTCCTTACATTCATAAGGCTTCTCTTTTCTGTGACTCCTTTCATGTTTTTGAAAGGATATGGGATTACCAAATGCTTTCCCACATTCCTTGCATTCATAAGGTTTCTCCCTAGTGTGGATCCTTTTATGATTTAGAAGGAAACCGGAACTATAGAATGATTTCCCACATTCCTTACATTCGTAAGGCTTTTTTCCAATGTGAGTTAGTTCATGTACTCGAAGGCCACTCCAATAACGATAGACTTTACCACACTGTTTACATTCATAGGGTTTCTCCCCAGTGTGAGTCCTTCCATGTATCTGGAGGCTTGAGGCACATCTGAAAGCTTTCCCACATTGCTTACATTTATAGGGTTTCTCTCCAGTGTGAGTCATTTCATGACATCGAATGGAATTGGGCAAACTGAAGCCTTTGCCACACTGCTTACACTCGTAGTGTTTCACTCCAGTGTGACTCAACTGATGATATCGAAAAGAAATGGAAGAAATATAGGCTTTCCCACATTGTTTACGTGCATAGGATTTCTCTTTAGTGTGAGTCCTTTGATGGTATCGAAAGGCACAGAAACTAATAAAGGCTTTCCCACATTTCTTACATCCATAAAATTTCCCGCTAGCGTGAAGCATTCTATGTCTGTGATAGAAACCAAAAAAACGGTATGTCTTCCCAGAACCCTTACATGCTTGATGGTCCCCTCCTCTGTGCATTCTTTCATGTATTTGAAAGGAAGATATGTTATTAAATGCTTTTTCACATTTCTTACATTTGTAAGGTTTCTCTACACTGTGAGTCCTTGCATGCATTCGAAGTTCTGAGGTGCATCCAAAGGGTTTTCCAGATTGTTTACATTCATAGGGATTCCCTCCAGAGTGAGCTCTTTTATGTCTATGAAAAGAAATGGAAAAACTAAATGCCTTCCCAGAATCCTTACATTCATAGAGTTTTTCTCCAGTGTGTGCAATTACATGTCTGCGAAAGTAGGGGAGGTAGCTGAAGGCTTTCTCACAGTATGTACATTTATATAGCTTCTGTCCATATTCCTGATACTCATATGGCTTGTGTCCAGTGTCAGCTCTGGTGTGCTTATTAAGGGATAAATGACCCATGCCGACCTCACACACATTCCTTTCACATGATTCTACTCCAGTTTTCTTCTTCAGCATGTCATCCAGAACCTGGGTCAAAATTTCTCCATGCTGATGACCTTCACTTTCGAATAGTCTCTCTTCCATAAGACCTCTGTGAAAAATGAAAAGCACACTTAATGCGTTTATCAGTGATCTTTATATTCATTCACAAGTCTTACACTTGCATTTTTAACATGATCCAGCAAAGTGTAGGTTTTCTACTCTGTCTGAATTGTTTGAACATGAATGGACCACACGGTCTACAAGATGGCCCAGCCATATCTATTATCAAAAAATATTGATATGGGGCTTAATACTATTTCCATGTAAACTACTGTACAAATACAAAACCTCTTTGTCTTTTAATTTTGTTTCTGAGTGAGAATCTTGCCCTGTTGCCCAGGCTACAGTCCAATGATGTCATCATGGCTCAGTGTAGCCTGACTCCTGGGCTCATGCAATACTCTGGTCTGAACCTCCCCCTCCCAAAGGGCTGATTATAGGCTTGGACACCATGGCTTATGCCTATGTCACAAATAAATGCATGTTTTTAGAGAAAATATTCTAAGAATAAATACAATGGAACTCAGCTTTTTTGTTTGTTTCCTTCTTTTTAACATTTCCTCCCATTCTAAAATTTTCTAGAGACAGTGCTTTGTCTTGTGAGTGCAGATTACCTTTGGCTGCTCCTGGGATTTTTGTACTCATTTTCAATGTTCTGGTCTTTCCATTTCTTCCCTAAAATACAGACACAGATACATAGGCCTGAATTAGTATAAAATCATGAAATAATTATTTGATTCTATGTTTATGATACACTGCAACCATTCCTCATTTATTCATCAAAGTATTGCCTGTCCATATTCCAAATTACTCAACAGAACTGATGAATGAGAAACACTTCTCTAATTCACTGAGTAATGTTGTCACCCTTACCTATAGAGGCCAGGTTCCTTAAGGTTTCTTGCATCACTTCTTGGTAGAGATTCTTTTGGGAAGGATCCAGCAAAGCCCACTCTTCTGGAGTGAAGTTCACAGCCACATCCTCAAAGGTCATTGAGTCCTGAAACATCCCACATGTGTAGAGAAGGATGGGTGAGACTGATAACACTGGACATCTATACCCTATTCCTAAGAAGTTCTCACAATGCTATGAACTCCAAAGATTTCATTACTTGGACATCAGACCTCTTACTCTCTGCTTATACTCACTTTCTTCCATAAAGGAATTCTGATGCTACAATTTAACCATGGGGTAAAGCAACAGCAGAACAGGAAAATGTGTGAGTTTCCGGTGAATCCACATAAAAAGGTGTGCTATCTGGGCTGCCCCTAATGTCTGTTTGTAGTGTGGGTCTGTAGTGCCTGCTGTAACCAAGTCCTGTGAATTCGCATGCAGAAAAAAGTTAACATAAGGAGTCTTGAGGCTGTGTATCCTTGAAAATGTCTGTTCCCAAGTTTAAAATTTGATGATATCTAGGAAGTAGATTTTGTTCTAAATACCAATGACAGAAACAAACAACTGGATTTTGTGAGGGGTCCATCAATCTAACTAAGACAGTTATAAATAGCTAAAAAAAAAAAAACGAAAACAAAAACAAAAACAAAAAACCAAACGCATGAGAAGAAGCAATTCTGGGGATCTCTGCTTGGGTAGTAAAGCCTAAATTGTAACCAAATTGCTCATAGCTGAATGTCAACAAGGTTGAGAAGTAAAACCCCAGGGTGCCCAATCGTAACAAAAAGGTAAATATTTACCAAACATAAAAATGTTTGTGTGAACAGGTGTGGTGGCTCACGCCTGTAATCCCAGCACTATTGGAGGCTGAGGTGGGCAAATCACTTGAAACCAGGAGTTTGAGACCAGCCTGGGCAACATGGTGAAACCCGTCTCTACTAAAAATAAGAAAATTAGCTGGGTGTGGTAGAACATACCTCTAATGCCAGCTACTTGGGAGACTGAGGCACGAGAATCATTTGAACCCAGGAGGTGGAGGTTCAGTGAGCTGAGATCATGCCACTCTATGTACTCTAGCATGGAGACAGAGCGAGACTCTGTCTGAAAACAAAAACAAAAACAAAACAAAACAAACTTTTGCTTATGAGAGGCCACCATTCACAGAGGGAGAAAGCAAACATGTGCTCTGTCTCAAGGATTATTAATGGTTCAGCCTTTCTGGAAAATAGTATGATAGTGCCTTTAAAAATAACAAAATTACGGCCAGGAAAGGTGGCTCATGCCTATAATCCCAGCACTTTGGGAGGCCGAGCAGGGCAGATCACCTGAGGTCAGCGGTTTGGGACCAGCCTGGCAAAAATGGCAAAACCCTGTCTCTACTAAAAATACAAAAATTAGCCGGGTGTTGTGGCACACACCTGTAATCCCAGCTACTTGGGAGGCTGAGGCAGGAGAATCGCTGGAATCTGAGAGGTGGAGGGTGCAGTGAGCCAAGACTGCGCCACTGCACTGCAGCCTGGGTGACAGAGCGAGACTCAGTCTCAAAAACAAACAAAATTACCATATCTTCCAGTGGCTGACTTGTAGGTCTATGTATACCGAATTAAAAAAAAAAAAAAAAATAGAAAACCAGGTCATGGAGACATATTTGAAAACTACTGTTGACAATGGCCAAGAGCTGGATCCATCCACATGTCCACTGATGGTTGTATGCATACAAAAATGTGGTAGGCATCTAAATACAATGAAATATGATTTAATCTTAGAAAATAACACCCTGTCCCATGCTTTATGCATGAAAATTCACGACGCTATGGAAATTACACAATGGCAGTCTCTCTCTCTCACACACACACACACACACAAAACAGAGTATGATTCATCATAGGTAAGTTATACAGAGTTGTCCAAGTAAATTAATTGTACACTTAAAATTGCTTAAGCTAGTAAAATGTAATTTTACTTTATAGTAATTAAAAATAATAAATTCACTTTGGGAGGCCAAGGCAGGTGGCTCACGAGGTCAGGAGATCGAGACCATCCTGGCTAACACAGTGAAACCCTGTCTCTATTAAAAATATAAAAATTAGCTGGGCATGGTGGCGTACACCTGTAGTCCCAGCTACTCAGGAGGCTGAGGCAAAAGAATTGATTGAACCTGGGAGGCGGAGGTTGCAGTGAGCCGAGATCGGGTCGCTGCACTCTAGCCTGGTGACAGAACGAGACTCCGTCTAAAAAAAAATAATAAACAAATAAATTACTGTCCTAAGTGTAAAACTACTTGACCAAAATATAGGCAATGGGCTGGATGCAGTGGCTCACAGCTGTAATCCCAACTCTTTGGGAGGGCAAGGCGGGCAGATCACTGGAGGTCAGTAGTTCGAGACCAGTCTGGCAACATGCTGAAACCCCGACTACACTAAAAACACAAAAATTAGCTGCGGGTGGTGGTAGACACTTGTAATCCCAGCCCCGTGGGAGGCGGAGGTTGCAGTGAGCCAAGGTCATGCCATTGCACTCCAGATGGGTCAAGACAGCGAGACTCCGTCTCAAAAAAAAAAAAAAAGATAGCCAATGTACTCCAATAACATTTCTCCAAGATACATCCAAATGACCACAACATACGTGAAAAGGTGCTTAACATCAGGAATTATTAGGTGTACTTATTTTTTTTTTGAGTCAGAGTCTTGCTCTGTCACCCGGGCTGGAGTGCAATGGCGCAATCTTGGCTCACTGCAACCTCAGCCTCCTGGGTTCAAGCAATTGTCCTGCCTCAGCCTCCTGAGTAGCTGGGATTATAGGTGCCCACCACCACACTCGGCTAATTTTTGTGGATTTTTTTGTCTTGTTTTATTGAGATGGAGTTTTGCTCTTGTTGCCCAGGCTGGAGTGCAATGGCACGATCTCAGCTCACTGCAAGCTCTGCCTCCCAGGTTCACGCCCATTCTCCTGCCTCAGCCTCCTGAGTACCTGGGACTACAGGTGCCCGTCACCACGCCCGGCTAATTTTTTTTTTTTGTATTTTAGTAGTGATGGGGTTTTGCCGTGTTAGCCAGGATGGTCTCGATCTCCTGACCTCGTCATCTATCCACCGCGGCCTCCCAAAGTGCTGGGATTACAGACGTGAGCCAATGTACCCAGTCAACATAATAAAATTTTAAATACAGTCATATATGGCTCTGTGGGAAAATAAAAAACGATTAAAATCCTGCAGCTCTTTCAAATATGTCAGGGTGGATCCATAATTGAAGACGTCCTTTAGGGAGGGAAAGCAGGTATTTTGGAATATAATGAGGGAACCATATATTTAGGGATTGTCATTCCTAAAAAGAGCCAGCTGCGGGAGTCTTACGGACTCCTTCCTTCCTTGACCAAAGGTGAGTCAGGCTGCTCAGGCCCTCTTCTTGACCCATTTTGTCCTTCTCATGCAGAGCCCAGTTACATCAAAAATCCTTCTAAGGGAGTTCAGGGAGAATCCCCCCAAAACTTGATACTCAATCAAATTCCATTTCCTCAACCCATGATAATTCATCAAGTTTCTCTTCCTTGACTGGGCATGGTGGCTCACGTCTGTAATCCCAGCACTTTGGGAGGCCTGGGCGGGCAGATCACCTGAGGTTGGGAGTTCGAGACCAGCCTGACCAACACAGTATAATTTTGTATTTCTACTAAAAATACAAAATTAGCTGGGTGTGGTGGTGCATGTCTGTAATCCCAGCTACTCGGGAGGCTGAGGCAGGAGAATCACTTGAACACGGGAAGTAGAGGTTGCGGTGAGCCAAGATTGCACCATTGCACTCCAGCCTGAGCAACAACAGCAAAACTGCGTCTCAAAAAAAAAAAGAAAGTTTCTCTTCCTTGTTTTGAGACAGAGTCTCACTCTATCACCCAGGGTGGAGTGTAGTGGCATCATCTCAGCTCACTGCAACTTCCACCTTCCAGGCTCAAACCATCCTCCTACCTCAGCCTCATAAGTAGAGGGGACCAAAGGTGCGTACCACCACCCCCAGGTAATTGTTTGTATTTTTGGTAGAGATAGGGTTTTACCATGTTCTTGAGGCCGGTCTTGAACTACGATTGCTGAGCTCAAGCAATCCACCCACCTCAGCCTCCCAAAGTGCTGGGATTACAGGTATAAGCAAATGCACTTGGCCCCTTTTCTTTTTTTAAAGTGTACAGCACACGGTATTCCCAGTATTACTCTCATACAAGTAATAACCAGACCCAATCCTGGTAGGAACTGAGATCAAAAAAGATTAGGTGCATTCAGGCTGGTATGGCCATATGCTTTTCAATGTCTTGCTGGTATGGTGTCCTTTGAAACACAAGTTTAAAATTTCAATGCAGTCTAAATTACATATTTTTTCTTTGTTCCTAGTGCTTGTATTGTCACATCATAGAATCTTTCCTAAATCCATGATCATGAATATTTTTGAACGGCACACTGTAGCATCAAGAGGGTAAGATTATCCTTTGTTCCCATGGGAGGATGAGAATGGGGTATTTGAATAATTCTGCAGGCTGACATAGAATTGAAACCCACTATACATTGGAGACTAAAACTATATAAATTTAGTATACTATAATGGCATATTACATTAAGCTGTTTACCATAATGCCATTTATATATAACAGCTATATACAACATTACAAGTTATATATAATATTTACCAGTTATCTATCATAACTATATACTATATATACTTCATTTGTGCATGTATATACATGTGTGTATATATATGCATATTATAATGCTAGACCATAATACTATACATTAATATCTCTTTAAATGTTAACACACAAAGCCTCAACAATACACTTGCAAAGAGAATCCACCCATATATGACAACATCTGTACCCTATGATAAAGTGGGATTTAATTCGTGGAAGCAACACTGCTTAACATTTCTAAAAATCAACTTATACAATGCACGATAGTTACAGAATCAATGTCAAAAACCACCATCCAAACACATGCAAAAAAAAAAAAAGTGACAAACCTCAACACTCCTTCAAAATAGAAATCAGGAATACAAGGGAACTTCTACAACCTACTATAAAATATGTATAAGGGTTGGGCACAGTGTCTCACACCTGTAATCCCG